TGGCAACTAGCAGGGCCTCACCTGTCACCAAAGAACAAGTTTAATTTTTCGCCTCATCCGGCATAATTAGCCTGCCAGTACATCCCCTCGGGGGTTTTTTACGCTAACCATATACTTTGTAATCTAGTATGTCTCAAGAAGGGGTAGAGGATTTCTCCATCCCAAGGACTCCGGCTAGAACAAACACCCCATCACAGGAGGAAGATACGGCTAGTCCAGCATCTTTCAGATCATGGACTATCCCTCGTATCACTAGCGAACTCAGGAGACGACAAATCCCTTTTCCAGCAACAGCAAGGAAAGCGAAACTTTACAAATTATTACACACCTCAACCGATAACGTGGACGCTGGGGAAGGGTCGAGCCAGTCCCACCCAGGAAACATACATGACATGCTCACGTCCCTCATGACATCCATGAGCAAGGTCAATTCTAGGCTGGAGAAACTTGAATCGGTCACTACAGCCCTCACTATGGCTGGACCGGCCACGGCAATTCCCCCATCAGTGGTGGAGTCGCAATCAGTTTCTCCAGCTATCACCTCGGATGACCAAGAAGTTTACCCTGCCCACATGATTCCTGAGCACCTCAGGAGAGATATCCTGGAAGGTAAAGATGTCAATCTGGCCTCACTACTAATTGCCTCCCAGGATATAGTGGAACATAAGACCTACGCTTATGACGATATTTCTGTGGTGGTCAAATCCAGGGATGCACGATTAAATAGGAAGCTAACCATTCCAGAATTTGTATTAGCTTTTGGCATTTATCGGGATGTGGTCTGTACGGTATATCCCCACAGACGTGAGGAGTTTGACTTATATATGCACAGGCTGGTTGATCTGGGCAACAAATATGGTGGGTCAGCTTTCTATGACTACCATAGATCCTTTTCTGCCAAAGTGTCTGGTGCCTTCTCACAGTACGGGACAAGGTCCAACTGGAGTAAGATTGATACGATCATATTTTGCAGGCACTTTGCAGGTCTAAGAGCACCGGCCTGTGCACACTGCTCCTCCATGGCTCATACTGCCAATTTTTGTCCGACCACTGCGAACGAACCTACCACCTCGCAGGGCACTAGCTCCGCTGTGTCAGCAGAGAGAACACCCAAAGACAAACTGGGTCGACCTATCAAGTTTTTGGGGAAGTCCCAAATATGTAATAATTTCAATGTCGGTGCATGTAATTACAGCGGTTGTCGGTTATTGCATATATGTTCAAAATGTTTTAGGGCACATGCGAAAACCATGTGTCCAAATAAAATGTACCCTAAGCAATACTTAACTGAGATAAATATTTCTGTACTCACGGCATTACTGTCACGACATCCATCTAGACATTTGGTAGACTTCATCATCACTGGTCTATCACAAGGATTCCATACTGGTCTCATACACATGCCTTCAGGAATCCTTGAATGTCCTAATTTACAATCTGCACAACAAAACCCTACAGCGGTTAGCACACTCATAGCCAAAGAAGTGGCAGAGGGCTTCCTATTGGGACCCTTTCAGTCCTCTCCTTTTTCCACATGGCGGACAAACCCCATCGGTATTGTCACAGGGAAATCTTCCCACAAACAAAGACTTATCATCGATCTGTCTGCACCTCACACCTCTGCCTCACCTAGTCTGAACTCCCTTATCCCCTCTGAGGAATTTTCACTTCAATACTCCACCATAGATCACGCCATTACAGCTATCATGCAGGCAGGGGTCGGAGCATGGCTCAGCAAGACTGACATTACAAATGCCTTCAAATTATTGCCTATCCACCCTACACTATGGCACCTGCATGGCATTAAGTGGGCCGGGCACTACTACTTTTTCTCACGCCTAACGTTTGGTTCAAAAAGTAGTCCGGCCATTTTTGACGTATTCGCCGGAACATTATGCTGGTTATTATTAAATGTAGCCAGATGCCCTACAGTTATACACTACCTGGATGATTTCTTACTGATCGAAGAGAACACTTCCCCTCCCAGTAGCCTCATAGAAACCATCAGTCTTTTTAAACAGGTGGGTGTTCCAGTCTCCCCACCAAAACTGAAGGACCAGATACAGTCATCACCTTTCTGGGAATCATGCTAGACTCAGCCACCATGCAAGCCAGCCTGCCACGCACCAAGATAGAGAACATTCTCACCAACATTAACCTCTACATACACCTCGGTACTTGCAATCGCAAAGAATTGCAGTCTCTACTTGGGTCACTGAACTTTGCCATGCGCATTATACCTCAAGGCCGGGCGTTCATCTCACGGCTCCTAACCATGTTCCCACTGTTTAGACATGATGCACACAGGTTACCACTGGATACCCAAGCCACGGCAGACCTACTTATGTGGAGAAACTTTTTGACCACCTGGAATGGGAAAGCATGTTTCTCCCTAAATTGTCTGACTCCTCACCTACCATCTGGTCAGACGCGGCGTCTACCACAGGTTTTGCAGCAATTTACGGGAATGAATGGCTTTGGGGTAGCTGGCCTCCAGAGGTACAGGACCTGGAAGGGTTTTCCACTACCCCAGCTCTATTTGAGATGTATCCCATTGTGGCAGCTGCCGTGACATGGGGGCATCTATGGGCAGGTTCGTCAGTACGTTGCCACTCAGACAACCAAGCTACCTGCCACATCATAAACAAGGCCGATCCAAGTCACTGACCATTATGAGGTTCTTGAGGAAACTCACCTGGCTGGCTGCATGCCATAATTTCTTCTTGTTTTGTGTCCATGTCCCAGGTGTTTGTAACACGGCTGCTGACAATTTGTCTCGTTTCAATTTTCAGGCTTTTCGGCAAATATTTCCATCAGCCGCACGTACAGCCACGACCACTCCACCTTTCCACCAGCTAGTCATGGACTAGAAGCTATTATGCAACATAGCAGGACATTGGCACAATTAGCACTGTCCACCAATACCCGGAGAACATATGACAGGGCTTTCCTTCTATTTAAAAGATTCCTGTCACTGCACAACATCACACAACCTTTCATCATGACATCTTTGTTAGGTTTTGCTTCTTTTGCCACCTCAAACTTAAATTATCTTACAACACAATCAAGCTATATCTGACAGGCATACAACATCACATGCTAACATTACAACCAAACAACACAAGTTTCATGTCCTCCTACCAGATCAAAAACATCCTTAGAGGTATCCAGAGATCCGAACCCCCACGTACCGCGCAAAGGCTACCTATAGACTTCAATATCTTCAAGGATTTATCCGGCCTACTAGATTCAAAACCCTTTGCGAACAACACAAACCTTGTTATAAAAACCGCCATATACGTAGCTTTTTATGGTTTCTTGAGACCAAGAGAATTTACCGCCATCAACACATCCCAGTCCACTCACATTCTGCTTCATTCACGCTTAACGAAACACATGGATTACTATATTTTAACTCTGCATCACTCCAAAACCAATCAACACGCACCCCCGGTAGAGGTTAGATACTATCCTACCCACAACGTGTGGTGCCCCGTCACATTACTGGACACCTATACTCAGCATTTCAAAGCATCACCATCTCAACCACTTTTCTGTCTACAAGGTTCGGTACTCACTACCACCACCTTCATGACCCACGTCAGGTCCCTACTTACACAACTAGGCCTAAAATCAGCTAACTATTCGGGCCACTCCTTCCGCATAGGGGCGGCCTCCACAGCGTCCAGTGCAAACATCCCAGTACATGTTATCAAGTCACTAGGGCGCTGGAAGTCTTCTGCATACTCTAGATACATACCTAACCCGGTACAAGAAGTTGCCTTTCAAGATATGTCTGGTTGAAGTATGTATACTGCTCGTTTCGTAATAAAGTATATTTTCTACTTTTGCCCTCTTTATTTGCAGGCCTACCTCATCGTCGGTTCCGGCACACCACAACCGACTTGCTCTTTCACACTATCCCACACTTATCAGTGTTTGTATCTTCTGTACTATCATGAGCCCTTAACACAAGTATTAAGGCCTTTTGGCCTGTAATTGTGGGAGGGGCGTATGACTCACCTTCTCCCTACTTAAGGGACACCCCTTACCTGGCTCCATACCGTTCGAGGTCAGCGCTGCATCACCCTCCCACCCACTCCTCTTTTATTAACTCCTTTTTCTCATACATTTCTTATTGGTGGGCCCTCTTTATTTGCAGGCCTACCTCATCGTCGGTTCCGGCACACCACAACCGACTTGCTCTTTCACACTATCCCACACTTATCAGTGTTTGTATCTTCTGTACTATCATGAGCCCTTAACACAACTAAACCCTATCAGCCGTAATATTAATCACCATATGGACATGGAATATTGGTGAAATATCGTCACTGAAAATCACAATGAAAGATTGCTAGTATAGAATATTGCAATGATTAATCACAGGTATAAACGGTAGCAGCGTTATTGTAAATAATAATATGGTAAATGTATCTAAATCAATGTGACCCTGTGAGCAAACCAGCATAGGAATGGTTATACATTTCATCTTAATACGAATCACACAAATCAAACTGTATTAGGAACACGGAACGCAGGATGTGGTTATTATGAATTTTCCTTTTTTAACATGGCTCTATATTTAGACATAGTCTGTACAGCACTTTAAATACCGCTTCCGTCATACGCTGTCCTTTTAAAGGAACACTAAATTTTACACTACACGCCATAATCTAAGATTTACACGCCATTATCTAAACTTTACACGCCATAATATAAGATTTACACGCCATAATCTAAGATTTACATGCCATAATCTAAGATTTACACGCCATAATCTAAGCTTTACACGCCATTATCTAAACTTTACACGCCATAATCTAAGATCTACACGCCATAATCTAAGATTTACACGCCATACAGTTTGGTGTAGATGAGTGCATTTTATATTGAAATAATTATCATTCCAACTATTGCCGCTAATAACAAAATGTGTTAATTTGTGGCTGGGAATTGCATTGTTGGTAATATATAAATGGGTTTTATTATCTGGAGGGATATAGGGTAGAAGGAGATTGGACAATTACAAATATAGGTTGATGAAGAAGAGCATAAGGATGGCTTACTAGTGGTGCTGGGGAAAAAAAGAAGCCTGGCCAGATGCAAGCTGGGAAATTTGGTCATGCTATTTGGCATGTATGAAATTGTGGAAAATTCTATAAGAGAACCATTGAGGACATAAAAGGATGAAATGACTGCAAGCGTTGAGCAAAGACAATTCAAGAGCAAGCCATTCACATTTGGTCTCATTATTTTAGTTTAGTAATGTTTATGTTTACGCCAAACTATGTTCTTTTTTCAGGTAGTTCAAAGGAAAAGGACTCACCATCAGGGGCGTACCTGGAGCATTTGGCACCTGGGATAGAGGGGCGGATCCGATATTTGGCACCCCCCAGGTGAGAGGGAGTGATGGTGTGAGGGAGGGGGGTGATGTGAGAGGGAGTGATGGTGTGGGGGATAATGAGAGGGGGTTGATGTGAGAGGGAGGGGGGTGATGGTGTGAGGGGGGGTGATGTGTGAGGGAGAGGGGGTGTTGTGAGGGGGGGGGACTAAATACCCTGGCGGTCCGGTGGCCATAATTTCCGGTCTGCAGAGACACAATCAGAGCGTTGCCATGATAACCTGCAGCAACGCTCTGATTGATCAGAGCTCGCGAGACACATGGTCTGCAGCTCTGCTCACTGCGGACCGGTGTCTGCGATGGGCGTCGCACCCGGCGGCATATCGAGCAAGCCGCCGGGCCCCCTCCTGGTGTCGGGTCCTCGGTCAGTGACCCAGGACCCGACACAGTCTGCCCCGGTCTCTCCCTAGTGAGTGGCACCCGGGGTGGACCGACCCCCCCTTAATACGCCACTGCTCACCATAAACCTCTCTGATGAAGTTCAGTTTTTTTTCCTGTAACGTTTTGATTTCTTGTCGTTCAGTACCTACATCTGAGTCTACCTCCCTATGAAGCGTAAACAAAGAATGAGAACTCTGAGAAAGGACAAAAGCTTAGAGAAACGCAGTAGCTTGCCCTTTGGTAAATCCCCGCTCAGGTCTCAAAATAGTTTTTGCTCACTTGTGCCATTACAGAGAAAACCAGTTCCAATGCACATCAGACTGATCCCACCCATATGGGCCGTCCAGAAATGCCGGCATGTTTTCTCTACGTGCGAGATACGGCAACCCATGGCGATCGTTCCGGCCTTCTTTAGGGTTCGTCAGCGAGGAGTCGCTGATACTCCTCTAGGCACAGTAAGCACGGGGTCCATGTCTGAATTACCCTTCTGAACATGGATAGAGTCCAGCTAGTGCAAGAAAAACAAAGAATATAAGAACTCTGAGAACTAACAAAAGCTTAGAGGAACTTAGCCTTTCGGTAAATCCACGCTCAGGTCTTAAAAAAAGGTTTTGCTCACTTGTGCCATTACAGAGAGATCCAGTTCCAAGAAGACACATCATACTGACCCAACCCAGGACAGTCCAGAACCGAGCAAATAGAGGAGTACAGTGGCAGGAGATCGTGTTTGGCTTTAAAGTATTTCTGTGTGCATTGTGCAGCCAAGAAAACACCGTGAAGTGCATCCATTCTCTTTCAGAGCATCATTTCACTTCAAACATCATGGAAAAAAGAAAGCGAAGTCGCTGTTAGACTTCAGATGGTTAAACTGTGATTATCCTTAATAGAAATGATATAACTGGACAGCGAAACACGTATCTGGACTACTATAGACATCTTCATATTTGGTATTTAATAAGCTTGTTCTATTGCATTTTTAAAAATATTGAAATAAAATAAATTTTTAAAAATCAGCTTGGACTCCAATAGTTTTAAAGAATGGTGTGTGGTCCTTAACCACACTGGGCACCTTTACTGAGCCAGCATACAGGCTCCACACTTGGGAGTATAATCATTGCTGTTTATTCACCATATGGAAGTATAAGGAGATATGAACCATTACTGCGATTCTTTTACTCAGAGTAAAACAAGGAAAGGAAAGTGCACCATGACTACAATATCCAGAAGGAGGAGTGATCGCCCATAACGGACCAACAAGCGATACATACCAAAGCTAGGTTACATAGCTCTGGAAATTGCGAGTGTGCAATTGGCTTTTTCATATATCTTGCAATTGGTTTTAAATTATTGCAGTTAATGTTTTTACATTACTGCAGTTTAATTCTCTATTTAAAGGAACACACACAGAATTGAAGTTCCTCAATAACGAATTAAGCCAAGTGTCTTTTAGTACATATTAATTGTCTATGTATTACACTAAGATAGCGCTCCACTATTTTCTGTATATGTAATAAATAGAAATGACATGGATCATGAAAAAAGCACGCAACTTTCATATGTTTTCAACACTATGTGCTTTTTATAACGAAGGCTGTTTGTACGTAAGGTAGGATCTAAAATGATCTTTTTTCATAAAGTGTATAGGGAGAATGTACGAGTCTCAGCAAGGGAGGTGGATCCAGGGCTGCATAAACAAAGTGATTTAACAACTAACTTGCAGAGAATTGGGCAGTGGGCATGATCTATACACCATAACCACTCCAATAAGTGATTTAGTGCTTAGAGGGACCCTTTTTATTTCCAAGTTGTTTTCCATCTCACAACAATTTGTTGGTTAGAGAGAAAAAAAAAAAACACCACTATTTTTTCAATTTAAAATGAAATCTGACAACTATATTGATAAAAGCACTCTAGCCAGAAATGTAAATAAATAATAGTGCTAAATCCCACTGATTCCTTAAACAAATGAAAGCTCAATATTTGTAGGTGCCATTACACAGTATATTAAATAAATACAATAATACGTACAATTCTATCATTACATCATAAAAATACACATAAAGAAAAAAATGAATTTAATAATTCAGTCTAAAAAATCATGTCCATTTTATCACATCATTCAATAAATTAGCTTTTAAACATCTTGGCTATTGTTTTCATATTTCCCACAAATACATTAAAGGCTCCTGTCTGTTGAAGACACCGAATTTATATCATTAACTTTTTGGGACCAGCAGTTCATGTCATTGGGAATCCAATCATTTAATAAGCTCTCATTTAAGTATTGTCCCACCATCGGTTTATCTCCAATGTGAATTCTCATATGACGGTTAAGATGTCCCTTATGTCCGAAACATTTTCCACATTCACTACACGAATAGGGTTTCTCTCCTGTATGAATGCGCTGGTGTACAACAAGATTTGAGTTATTGGTAAAACATTTCCCGCACACAGGACAAGAGAAGAGTTTCTCCCCAGTGTGAATTCTCTGATGTATAACCAGGCTAGATTTATAGAAGAAAAGTTTTCCACACTGGGCACATGCAAACTTCTTTCCTTTGTGGATGGTTTGATGTTTCTCAAGGCCCGTGTGGCTGGTAAAATACTTCTGACACACAGGACAGCTATAGATCCTCTCTGTGCTGTGTGCTAACTGGTGAGGTTGGACAGTCAGTGCATTAGTACATTTGTTTCCATAATCCGAAGTGGTCAATGCAGACAAACTCTTTGTTCTTTTCTCTGCAATATTATTATTCACTTTGTGATATCCTCTGTAATGAACAGACTGATATTCTGCTGGTGTATAGATTTCAGATTCAGCGGTATCTCCACATGATTCGGATTCCTCCTTAATGTGATTAAACGGAAATTCAGTCTGTGGATCTTCTACGGGTGTATAAAGGTCAGTGTCTGTGAGATTCCCTTCTTCACATGAGGCGGATTCTTCCTTAACATGAAAAAATCGAGATTCAGACTCTGTATTTTCTCTCCGAGATGTTTCAGTTTCAGTCAAATTGTCTTCTTCACATGGCAAAGGTTCCTGTTTAATGGACGTATATTCTAAATGTGCAGGTTCTGTGGGTGTATAAATGTTCGTATTTGTAGGATTTTCTTGTATCCAATGGGCAGATTCCTTTATAATTGCAGATGAGGTATGATCTCTGGGGGTATAAATCTCACACAATCTTGCCTCTTTCTTAATATGAGCAGGTGTATATTCTGGCTGTTCTGTTGATGTGCAAGTGGCAGTATTTGTGAGATTTGCTTTTTCACAAGACGTTGTTCTCTCTCTCGTAAATGTGGTTGTACAATCTGTCTGTGTATGTTCTGCATGTGTGCAAATGTCTGCATCTATGAAGTCATCTTCTTTAGACTCCTTAGTAAATGTACATACAGTGTGCGCTTTTTCTGTGGAACCATCAAGACAGGTATCTAAATCTTCTTGAATCAGAATTTTTTTCTTTCCCACACTTTTAACAGGTTTGCTCAATCTCTTTCGAATCTTCTGTTTTTTGGGATGTTTCGCCTCTGCCTTAGATTTTATATCGCCTTTCATTTCATTCAAATGATCTGTTGATGGAAATGTAAAAAAAAGTGAAATTCTTTTGGTGCATTTCTACTAAGTCACAATTTCAGCAACTACAAAAAAAACTAATGCATTCATCTACACTTTTTTTTTGAAATTTGCGGACAATTTAGCCGTGCCAATATTATGTTATGTATTTCCTTGTTGCGTATTCCATTTTTGTTATTCTGCAAACACATCACTAGACTGCCAGATGAATCTCACCCTTGATGAGACACCTTCATATATCTATCACACTTACTAGAAGAAACATCACTTTAGCTCACCGTAGAGACCATGAATACAGGAGTGCCCTGGCACCCCCCCGGAGTAATTTTTCAAACCATTTAAGAACAATTTGACAGCTTACCTGGGTTCCCTTTGGTGTCTGTGGGTGCAATACCTG